TTAATGAGACATTTACTCATGTGGCCAAATTCACCACCATTAGAACTATTATTGTAATTGGGGCAACAATGGAGATGCATCAAATGGATGTAAAGGCAGCATTCTTGAATGGAAGCTTAAAAGAAGACATCTACATGGATCAACCTCAAGGATTTGTACAAGAAAGAAATCAACATCTTGTTTGTAAGTTGAAGAAATCTTTGTATGGACTAAAGCAATGTCCAAGGGTATGGTACCAATGCATTGTTACTTTCTTTGTGACTAAAAGATTTGTAAAGAGTGAGGTTGATTATTCCTTGTATGTGATGCAATCAAATGAGTTCATATTGATTGTCATCATATATGTTGATGATCTAATTATCTTAACCAAAACTATGAAAATAATGGATTGGTTGAAGGAAAAGTTAGAAAGAGAGTATGAGATGAGTGATTTGGGAGAGCTTCACTATTGTTTAGGAGTGGAGTTTATAAGAGATCGTGCTAAGAAGACCATTACAATGAGCCAAAGCAAGTATATTGAAGAAGTGTTGAAAGGATTCAACATAGAGGAATGTAAGCTTATTGGAATATCTTTGGAGGCCAATTTGAAGTTGATGAAGCTCTTAGATGAAGAATTTGCTGAATTTGAAGATCAAATGCAAAGAATTCCATACAAAGCAGCGATGGATTTACTAATGTATGCAATAGTTGGCACAAGGGTGGATCTTGCATATGCAATGAGTGTTGTGAGCCAACACATATGAAAGGCTGGACCAATCCATTGAGCAACCATCAAAAGGATCATGAGGTACTTAAAAGGCACTTTAAACTTCAAATTGTGCCTTGGAGGTGATAACATTACTTTGTATGGTTATTGTGATGCAGATTGGATTAGAGATGCAAATGATAGAAGATCAACAACAGGGTATGTGTTCTTTGTGGGAGTGGGAGCTATATCATGGAATCGCAAGAGACAACCAATAATTGCAAGGTCAACAATGGAGGCAGAGTACATGGCAGCAAGCCTTGGTGCAATGGAGGCAATATAGCTAAGAAAACTTTTGAAGGACATTGGAGATGTGCAAATGGAAGCAACTCAAATGGAGTGTGATAATCAAAGATGTCTTATATTTGTAAAGAATCCCAAGCATCATTCAAGGACAAAACACATTGACATTCAACATCACTTCATAAGAGAGAAGATTGAAATAGGAGTGATTGATATGAAGTATTGTGCAACTAAAGACATGCTTGCTGATTTATTGATAAAGGCATTAGTAAAGGATGGACACCACATGTTGACAAAGACATTAGGATTGAAAGCCCTTTGACCAATAGCAAAGTGGGAGTATTGAAGTAAGTCACTTAGTAAAAGGTATTACCTTAGGTTAGTTGCTAGTGGTCAAAAGGAGGCAAAAGAGTATAAGGAAGTTATTATGGTGGTATGTAAGATTTGTAGGTGGCGGCTAGGTTAAGAAAGAACCTAAGGTTTAGTTGGATGAAGTAGAAATAGATGTAACCTTAATGGAAGTTGCCTTGTTAGTTGACAACCACCACCTATAAGTAAAAAGTGTTGGAAGTAAGAGTCATCTTATTTCATACTCACTTTTGTGTGCAACCTTGCTGATGCTAAGTGTTGTGACTTCAAAGTGCTTATTCTTCAATAAAAACACTCGTGTAGTAAGCAGGGCTCTTATTTTGGTCATAGTTTGTCGAAACTAGTATTCAATTACATATCTGGTTGTGTTCTACAATGCAAGATTTTCCGCCTCAAAGTACACTCAATCTTGAGGAATATGGCTCCAGAACATGAGCAGATGGCTTGATACTTGCTGAGGTAAAGTTTCTCTGTCAAATGCAAGGTGAATCAGGCGAGTGACCAAATGGATGGACTTTGTTCTGTGAGTCACTTTGTGTTGAGGTGTTTTCAGCTTCCTGGCCTTCAATTTTAGATTTATTGTGTTTATCCTCTTCAGATGTGCAGAAAGTCAGCAAAGAAAGTGTATTGCAAATTTACCTGCTTCATGTGCATTGAACCAGGCCGTGAACAGCAAAAGGCTCTTTGTTGTGGACTACCATGACATATTAATGCCCTATGTTGAGAGAATCAATGCTTTGGGGGGTCGTAAGATTTATGCGTCTCGCTCCTTGTTTTTCTTGGACCATAACGGAGTCCTGAAGCCTGTCGCAATAGAGCTTAGCTTGCCGCCTTCTGATCCTGGAGCAATTGTAAAGAAACGTGTCTTTACTCCCGGGAAAGAGAGCACCAGTTTCTGGCTTTGGCAGCTCGCCAAATTGCACGTCGGCACAAACGACTCTCGCCACCACCAACTAATTAGCCATTGGTGAGCTGCTAATTTTTCACATTGTTCGACTGTGTTCCTCCACATTATGATTTAGAGCCGCAGACTGCGGATCTTGAGTAACGAAGCGAAAGCATTGATTCTCTCAACGTTTGCTTCACAGGTTACGTTCACATGCATGCACAGAGCCGTACATAATTGCAACATACAGGAAACTAAGCGCCCTTCACCCAATTGCCAAATTCCTCTACCCGCACCTCCGATATACCATCGAAATTAACGCAGCCGCAAGGCAAAACCTGATCAACGCAGTTGGAGTTATCGAAGTTACTTTCACGCCGGGAAAGTATGCGCTAGTGATTAGTGCTGTTGCCTATGACCTATTATGGCGGTTTGACAAAGAGGCATTACCTGAAGATCTTATCCGGAGGTACTCATTCTCAACACCCGTGGTCAGTTCGGAAACTATTTATGCTTGTATCCTCTGACGATGTGAGTATCCCCGAATGAGGATGCAGAACAAAATTCCAAATTTGGTAAGCTTACGATCAGGTGGAACGATGAAAGATTGCAGCCTCGGAGGCGCTTTCTCTTTGTTGTATCCCCATACACCTTTATATTGTCTTCGTTTGAGTTTCTGCAGAGGAATGGCTGTGCGAGATGAGAATGTTCCCCATGGTCTGCGACTTTGGATTGAAGACTACCCCTTCGCCATGGACGGACTTTTGGTGTGGTCTAGTATAGAGGAATGGGTCCGTGAGTACGTCTCTTTGTACTACTCCGACTCTTAGAACATTCTCAAAGACGATGAGCTTCAGCAATGGTGGACAGAGATACAGACGAAAGGACACGCGGACTAGAAAGACGAACCATGGTGGCCAAAACTCGTAACTCCACGGGATCTGGTGGAGATACTGACCACCCTCATTTGGGTGGTCTCGGGACACCACGCAGCTGTGAATTTCGGCCAGTATGATTACGCCGGCTTTGTTCCTAACAGACCGTGTCTGGCCCGGCGGCTAATCCCGGAAACTACACAATCCGAGTTCCAGAAGCTACTCCAGGATCCTCACCAATTCATGCTTGAGACATTACCCAGTCAGGAGCAAGCCACGGTGTTGATGATGGTAGTGGAGTCACTCTCCACGCACACTCCAGATGAGGAGTACCTCGGACACAACGGATTCCACACCAAGTGGACAATTGATCAAAGGTCCATCGACGCGTTCAAGAGATTTTCAGCTCGGTTGGCTGGAGTGGACAAGCAGATCCAGAAGAGGAACGGGGATCTGAAGCTTAAGCATCGAGCTGGTGCAGGCACACTGCCTCATGAGCTTCTTCTGCACAAATCTGGTCCCGGAATCACCATGCGCGGAATACCCAACAGCGTCTCCATCTAGACCTGCATCTCGCTTGTAAGTTATTCTGCAACTTTATTACACCCCCTTTGCTTTGCAGTCGCACAGTGAAGGACCCCCTCTCCTTGAATAGCCTTTCACCCAATGCAACGGCTCCTGTTTCCTCGGTGGAAGCGCACCCTGGGTAACACTGAGCAAACCAAGTTCACGTTCACAATTGTAAAGTATTAGAATGAAACAGAAAATAATCTACGCTCTGCAGCATTTGAGCATGTGTAGGTGATTGAAAAGATTGTTGGTGGTCTCATCGCCCTCCACTGCCACTTCGCATCATTTGTTACTGGTTTTCAATATGACAGCTGCATGTAATCCCATTAATTCTTTCTGTTCAAAACATTGTGTAAGATTTGGTGTGCTGGTGGAGTTGATGTTTGAATGCAGTGCATGAACAATGCTGTATCTATGTGTTTATTCTCTGTTGATTCAATTACCACGGGGTTTGTCGGATAATTCTTTTGTAGAGCAAATGTTGATTATGCAAAAATGATATATATCCATGTGGATATATCATCCGACCGTTAGATTAGGAGTGGATATTTATGTGCTTATTATTATTGTAGGGTAATGTTAAATAGACCTAAGTTTTTACAAAATCGAGTTACCCATGACAAAGAATATGACAATCATGATGAATATGGTTGGATTTCATTGGTTTGGATCCAAGAGTGGAGAAATGAATCTAGTGGTCATTTTTTTTATGATAGTTAGGAAGGATAGGTCAATTTGGTTAAAGCTTGGGTCTATTTAACATTCTCCTTAATATAAATGACTTCACCTCATTATAAGTATAAAAGTGTGATAATTTTACAGACTTGAAGTCAAGTTTATAAGGACATTACTATTTAACAATAAGTTCAATTTCATCTTGTATATTCTCTATGTTGAATGAGACAAGTGCACAAACAATCATTGCATTTTATGTAAGATTAACACAATACCAACTTTAAATTTGGGCAGCATGAAAGCTTGCTGCAAATAAGAAAAAAAATGATAAATGAAAAATGAAAATTTTTATTAAAACTCAAGAATAAATTTACATTCATTAAACATATTCTCGAAATCAAGGATAGAAAATAATTTAATTTCATGGAATCAAAAAATCCAATTCCATATTGATTTTTTAATTGTCCTTTGCAAGTAATCTTTAAGGATGCATCGTGAGTTGCACTCTTTTTCATTCATCCAAATTGAAGTTCCCCGTTCTTTGAGAACCGGACTGTGGAAGTATTGAGGACCGGAGACACCCGCGAACAGACAAGGACATGGTCTGGAAACATATTAACGCTGGATCTGTTGAGCCTCATCGTCCTCCTGCGAAGTCTGCGTCTCGGGGTTCGCTCCATTTTGACGAGAGCATTTGCAAGGCATGGAATGCGGACGAGTAATCCCCACATTTGCACCGCACGTGCATCGAACCTCTCTCCTGACACTCTAATCCAGGCAGGGTGGATCTTAGCGCTACCGAGCGAGATTTGATGCGGATTGGATGAGTAGAAGCTGTTGACGGCGAGAGGGAGAGAGAGAGGACTTGTATGCGGTCCCGGTGTAAGGACTAGAATGATTGGGGTGCGTGAGGGCCATGGACGAGTAGTTCTCGTAGCGTTGGCTGATTCGCGGAAGAGAAGCACGTGTTTCAAGCAAGCGGGAGCACAATGTGGAGCACATTCGAGAAATTGAAGGACAGTGTCACGCAGATTGCCTCGGATGTGCTGGATGCAGACGAGGAGCTTGATGGAGAGGGTGCATTTAATGATGGCGCAGTTGAGAGTCACTACCTTGGTAACCTGCAGGAGGCTCACCTTCATGAAAGCGATGGTGATGGTGATGGCGGACCAGCAGAGTTTCATGCCACCGAGGTATGCTTGGCACTGTGTGATTCGCGGTTTCTGGGGTCCAATTTGCTGGAGTGTTTTTTCGGGTTGTTGTTTTAGATTTTGATGTAGTTATAATGGGCTCGAGTTGCATTCTTTTGTTTGTAGGTGATTTCGTTGAGAATTTTCCTCCGCTGAGCACATGACGTGATCTGGGGAAGGTATCTGTGTAACTTGATTTCTAAGCAGTTGTAACCTAAATCTTTATGAATTAGTGCCTAGTAGCTGTGAAATTTTAATTCAAGATGTTTTCTTCTATTAATTGTAATCATCTAGTTTTACCTTTTTAAAGTTGTGAAACGGAATTTATGTTACGTTAGATTGAAAACCATCCGAAAGTTTATTGTCTGTAGTTGCTAGTTCTTCTAGTTCATGAATTGTTTCACTAGCTCATGCACGAACAGTCACGCGGCAATCTCGTTAGTCTTTCATTTCCAGTCCTGATGATTCTGAAGAGCAAATGCCTTCTTTTCTGCGTTGCTTTATACTGTATAACCCTGAATGACTTCATCCTTTCATGAAATGTGTGGTAAATTTCGTTTGCTCTGATTCTAATGCAGTTAGATTATTATAAAGACAAGGATGATGACCTCCAGACCGAGGTGAAAGCTGCAATGGCGAAGTACACTGGTCTTCTCGAAGAGAGAGAGGTAAAAAGCTTTCTAATATATAACACTTCTTATAAATAGAGCTCATGCAGTAATGCTACCAATTTCAATTGTACTAGTTTATGATTGCCAATGCTATTCGCGATTTGTATTGTCAGTTTGTAGTAATTAATCGTAGTCGTTGAGAGCATAAAGATCGGCAAGCCGTTATGGGGATGATATTTGTTTCACCATGTTTCACTGGAGGGAATCTTACTGAGTACCTTTTCGTTGTTGTAATCTACCTTTTGTGCTTTCTTCCTCTCTTTTTGGCTTCCTTAGCGTATATTTCTAGTAGCAAACATCGCCATATCTAACTTCGTCGAATGCTCTCAGTGAAACAGAGGCAGTTCACATCGACACTTGAGTTTATTTCTTTGCATGTGAAAGATTTCAGTCTCGGATTTAAGCACGAGTCATTTTGCACTTCATGGCAACTACGTTGTATTTTTTTTTATTTATCTCAAAACAATATATGGTTCTGTAATATTATTACTTGGACGTGTTGCTTTGTGTTGTTAGACAGAGGTCTCAATCCTGCGAGAAGAAAACAGGTTGCTGAAGGAGCAGTTGTTGCTCAACTGCACGAAGTTAGATGCCTTGTCAGAAGCAGTAAGTGGCCATGAACTAAATGAAAAGGTAATCTGAATCTCTAGCAGTCTATATGGATTTTGATTTAGGAAAATAAGTTAGAAGTGCTCGTTTTCTATTGGTTTTCACTTTAGTGTTACTTTTTAAGGATTTGGAGTGTTTCAGACACCTTCGTTTGATTTGGCCGTGTTATTTAAGCCATTGGAGTTCTCAGCAGACAAAATTGTGGCATCCAGGTTGATCCTTCGTCCTCAATATTCATTCAGGGTGATCAACGGTTCATTGAAGGAAATGTATGGTTTGTACACTGATCCATGATCTTTTAGGCCTCTTCTTCTTCTTCTTCTTCTTCTACTTCTTTGTTACTTACTCGTTCATTCGTTCCTTTATTCACTCATTCATTCGTGTATTATTATTATTGTTACTGTGCATTTTTATTTTTTATAAGTTTTTAAACCAGGAAAGCTTGAACTTGAAACTCCTTATTTCAATACATATATGCTTATTTCGTTTTGACATGTGCCAAATATTACCGAAATCCTCACATACAATTTCCACATTAAGCAATGTCTTTTCTAAAATGTGCTAGAAAATTAACCTGCCAAAATCGAGGTACAACAGCTTGTTTATATTAAACTGATTTGAGCATATAATCAGATTGAGCATAACAGCTGGAGGGTAGATAATGTAACCACACGAGTGCTGTTTTGTGTCCGTTTTTAATCTCTGTGTCTCCGTGTTTAAATCGGGTTGTATGAGTCTTCATTTTTGCGTTCTTCGTCTGATATTTTGACTAGTTCGTTTGTAGTAAATGATCCGTGAAGTTTGATAAGATTAGACTCATTGCAAGTGTGGATCGCAGGAGAAGCTAAATGAACATGTGGACGGTCCCAGGGAGCGACTTGAGAAAAGCAAAGCATTGATTGAGGGAACAGAGAAAGAACCTGAAAGTAGGTGTTCAGAGAGAAAATTTCAGGATGCTGATTAATATACTATGAATTTTTTCGTGAAGTTTGAAGATGGTATTATAAAATATTAATGTCGATGTTAATGTTTTTTTATTTGTAATAATCGGTATTGTTTTCCAGCATTTTTTTCGTCTTTTCTTTGAATGGATTAAATTTTTTCTAATTCTTCAACCCTCATTTGTGTCTGTTGTTGACCTTCAGCATCACCTTTTCTGGTTAGTATTGGGGGTTTCTGCTTGGTTTGTTATCCTTGGCGTTTTCCTTTCCCTTGCTGACCTATTGCTTTCTTTTTTACATACACTATCCATGTGTGCACCGTCTTAACTTTTTGTACTGCTTCAGAATTATTTCCTGCAGAAGTCTTGGTAAATTATACAATCATTTCAGACCATTTTGACACTCCGGAGACTCAAATGCTCAAACGCAACTCATCAAATGACAAAGTAAGTTGGTTAATGGGCGATCCAAATGTTGGTACATTTACTACGTACATTCAGAAATGGGCCTTACAAGTTCAACGCATTCACTTGCGTCGCTCATGTTGATTGATTCATATGTGACCGTTTCTGGTTTGTTGATTGCAATCGCAGGCATCTAGTGAATCTGGGGAATCTGTGCTGCCATTTCCGAAGGCGGAGCACACTGAAAGTGATAATTCAGTCAAAGAGCAGGAATTACACAAAAATTCTCTTGTCAAAGAATCACAGGCATTAAGATCGAGTGATGAGCAGGTAATCCTTTGAATGTCTTTGAAATGAGTCGAGTTTGCTTCCTTAATCATACTCACTGCACATAGTGACATGCATGCACCTACTTCGGAAGAATTTGTTGTGTAAACCGTTCTCTCCCATAAACCTTCAGATCAAGTCTTAGAAGCCAAGATCATTTTATTGGCTTCTTGTAGTCGCGATTGCTATATGTATTGCTTGTAGTTATCTGGTTTCTGGATGCAGGTGAGGTCCTTGTCTCAACGACTAAAATCCTCAGAGGAAATTTGCTGCTTGTTGCGATCGAAACTTGAAGAATTGTCACTTGAGCGAGACTCTCTTTCTAAGAAACTGGAGGATGCATTACTGGAATCTGAGAAATTGGAAGACATGCAGCTGGAGCGAGACACACTTTTGAAAAAAATGAATGAGGTGTCTTTGGAGAGAGACAAAGCATTCCAGAACTTGGGGAGATTAAGGCAAAATCTTCTAGACATGGTGCTCTAAAACCCTAGATACTGTTCAATAGGAACTTCTTTATAGCTCAGTGATCACGTTACAGGCATGAACGAGCTCAGGGCCTGTATGCATTCGCCTCTTATGGAAGGAAAATAGCCCTATTGATTAGGTTTCAAGATTTTGAGTATCTTGGTATGTTCGGGTATACACTGATGCAATTCAGCTACTATTTCTGATGCGTATGAGATAATCCCGCAGGAATCATCAACATCAGAGAAGATGGACAATGACAATATTCTTATTGGAGACCTTGAAACGCGCCTAAAGTCCGCTGAAGATTGTGTTGGCCAATTGCAGCGAGCCCTAAGCAAAGCTCAAAATGACCTGGCGCAGGCAACTAGAGAAAACGATTTGAGATCAAAGGATTCCAATGAAAAAATTGAGCGTCTAAAACAAAATTTACTTACGTGCTCTGAGGCTCTTGAGTCTAAAGACACAGAACTTGCGAATCTTCAAAGAGCTCTTGGACAATACTATGCAGAAAGTGACGCTCAAGTAAATGATATTTCTTTTACTCTGCCATAACTGGAGCGAGACAAGTAATAAGACTTAATGATATATATATATATATATATATATACATTTTTTTTACTTTCTTCGATTCACAATTTATTTTTACTTTGTGAAGGTTATGTAATATTCATGAAATTGATTCAGGAGCGTTTGGAATCGAAACATCGTACTGTCAGGGAATTGAATACCACACTGACAAGAGATTTGAAGGTAGGATGTTGTAGCAATTTAACCAGCAGAATTTATTTCGCGGATATGTTAGTTGTTTGGTCCTCATACGATTTTCTAAAAGTTGCTTGTACTAGCTGTTAAATTTCTTTCAGAGATGTTGCCAGCGGTCGTTAATTGGGCTTTCTAAAATTTTTTGTATATAGGTTTAGGGTATATGTCAACATCGTCAGTATTGACTCATCTTGGTTTAGACCTCAAAATGTCTAGTTTCGTGCACATATGTTTGTCCTCTGTCGCTTGTTCTCATTTAGCTGTGTTGATTGATGAACAGATTGCAGAGGGAATTATTGATTTGAAATCCAAGGAACTAGAAACAGTCACGAAGCAATTGGACAGTGCTAAATCCCAGAATATAGATTTGAAGAGCGATTTACACAAGCTGCAGCAAGAAGTGCAAAAGCTCCGTGCTGCACTCGAGCAGTCCATCACAAGCCTCAATCGGATGTCGTCTGACTCAGATTTCTATGTTGATAGGTCCTGTTCCCGACATTTCTTGACGCCCCGATCCATCTTATCTTTCATATATTTTTTACCTGGTTTTCTGGTTTTTGCTTCTTTTGATTCCTATGAAGTTTAACAATCTCAGGATATTTCACTAAGTTGTTACTTTCTAATCAGAATTTCTTGCACATGCTTCCATTGCACCTACCTCTTTTGTCGTTAGCTTACTTCATGCGTGTCACAGATTGTTGCTATCTGTTGAACCATCGTCTTCTGTTGATATGGACGTCCTTAAAGGTTTGTACTCTTTGCCTGTGCAGGCGCATTGTTATTAAGCTACTAGTGACTTACTTTCAAAGGCATCACAGCAAAGAGGTTTAACCATAACACTTGCCAATTGATATTATCGCAGTTTTTCTCTTTCAACTTTGATTTGCAAAAATTTCTATCACTTCAAAAACTGCATTCTTTTTGGCTCTCAGCTAGAGCTTTTGTACTGGTGTCGTCAAATGTGAGTCATTGTTCTGTAGGTTCTGGATCTTATGGTACGCATGCTGGGATTCTCGGAAGAGGATAAAAGGCGTGTTGGGCTTGCCCAACAAAATGCTCGATCTGGTGGGATGGTTCGTGGTGTTTTTGGTGTACCCAGTCGCATTGTTGGAGGCATTCTTGGAAGCTCAGATTCAGACACTTCTTCACTAGCTGCTCCTGGTGAAAATTCGGTGTGTGTCTTTCTTACGCCAGCCATTTTCCTGGTGAATTCTTTATGGCTGCCAGTCATCTTTCAAGCTTGACATTAAATATCTCAAGTATGTTTTGACATCATGGATGGAGGTGACCATTTTTGAAGTGTTAGCTGGGGCTCTCGGCAGATTTTAGTACTCAAAATCAAGAGAAATGGTTTTGTTTTTCAGTCTTTTGCAGATATGTGGATTGATTTCCTGCTCAAGGAGTCACAGGAAAGGGAGCGACGAGAGAGGGAAGGAGGCACTAGTGAAATCAGTGCTGCCCCTACGTCACTAATGGCCAATCTAACACGGTCAATGCCGTCGTCCCCCTCCGGCGGTCATCATAGACTCAGTAGTTTCTCTGGTTTTCCTTCCCTCTTACCTCCGAATCCTAGCAGGGGTTCATCTTCCTCTGACTTGCAAAGCATCTTAGCTGGGGATCCTCTTAACAATACTTCATCATAGCTTACTCCACGGACTATATTGTATTCCAGCTGCAATGGACTTGCAATGGACTTGAAAGATAGCTCAAGACTTGCTATTGCACATGCGCATTCTTTCGGTACCGAGTGTTGGATCTTGCAATTAGAAACTTCTTGATAGCAAAAAAAATTTGTCCGCCCTTCTATTAAGGCCTAAGTTTCTGGCTTGCTATGGAGCCCTCGACATCTGCTGGCGAGGTCTAGATCTTCAGGATGATTCCAGTCCACTTCTGTGCAGTATTCCTAGCGCGGTCACATCTCATCTGAATAAAGAGTTTTCAAAGGGTTCTTTTGAGCACTTTGGAAGTCATCGGCATTCTCTGAACCTCGGATAGCCTTTCACTTTAATTCTGCAAGCGGCAAGGTTTGTGAGAAAATGTAAAAATTGATCAAAACGGTTTGAAGATTGTGAAAGAACTATGGGAATTTTATGTAAGTTTGAACCATCTAAAGACTAGATCAATGCAGGAGTTTCTTCTGTGTTTTGACGATGTAATTCTCTAATTGAACTTGGGAATAACAAGATACTTCGAAATACGCCGAAGTAGGAACCTTCCTCCATAGTTGAGTAGATCACAAGGTTGAAAACCAGCTACTACGTTCATCTAGCGGTACTAATGAGTACCTACATAGCCCATTAATGTCCTTCATTGCCGCAGAAGAATAAATTCCACAAGAGGCTGCTGGTCAGATTACACTGTTAAGAATGAAATAAGAAGAAACACAAAACATGAAACATGCGGAAAAAAATGTTTCAAATGATTCATTATTGCTGAGAAGGTACTTCAAGTTCTTCCAAGGAATTAATGAATAAATTAATGGCTTAAAATATGTAAATTCTTTGCTTTTGATTGGTCCGTAGCTATCTGTTGTGCCAAGTAAAATTGGAACAAGTAACTTGGGTTTGTCAGCATATTTGGAGAGTAGAGGAATTTAAAATGTGCTCAAACAAATACTTCTCTTTAATTATTTTTTACTTTTTTCTAGAAAATATCAAACTACTAAGTAGAAGTAGGATTGAAGATTAATTGAAACATTTTATATATTAGCACCCGAAAGAAAATACACAAGTAATAATCAGACCTGGCCATAAAATTTATACAAATCAACAATTACTATACCGTAATAAATGAACAGTCTTTTCCATGAAATTTATAAGGAAGTCACGGTTGGTTTATCCACAAATTTTCCAGATTGGATGCATTATTGTGCACAAAAAGTTTGTCTGCATGGATGAGCCAACTTTTCTTTCTCTGCTCTACAATTTTAACTACTTGTTACATCTTCGACATACATTGTTGCGGGTAGTTCACAACTAGCTGATACTCGGTTGTGCCACACAATTTCCACTGACGACAACGTCATCTGGAAGTGGATACTATTCTTACGTACTAGATTGTCGCATGTGGGTAGAGATAACATGTCGCAACAACGAGAAGTGTAGATTGAAATGTGATGATATGATTGTGTACAAGATCACATGTTTGATAGGAGAATAGGTTAAAGAGAATATGGAGGGCTTCGTTCATATACAAAATCTGTGCATCCATGGTACTTGCATCACACCAGAAGTGGATGACACTGAACACTTGTTTTCAAGCAGGCATGCATGTATTCGGGAGTAAATGTGGTGGTGCACTTCCATGGCGGTGATTGAACATAGACACAAATTGAGAGTTGAACCCGTGAGTTTACTGCGAAGCTTCAAAAATAATGCACACGACTGCAGACAAAAACCGCCGAACAATAGGCTGTCTCTCTGTGGTATCAGGATCCAAGCGGAGTCTACACAATATCATGGCCTCGACTGAAGTATCTAGTTGGGCCTGGAAACCAAGAAGCCGCAGATCTGGACCTGCTTCTTGCTGTCAAATCCCAAGACTCTGACCCAGCAGCTGGGGAACTGCGTCTTGCACTCCTGGATCTCCCTCAACACCTGGGATGAGTCGGTGCACCCGAACATGGGCAACTTCCACATGGTCCAGTAGCGACCGTCGTAATAGCCCGAGGAGCCTGCGCCAGAGAAGTTGGTGCGGCTCACGGATCCAACCTGCCCCAGCACATTAGCACGATTCGATGTGTCAGTGACTTTAACTTTTTCGACAAGGTCTTAAGCATTCTCCCAAGGACTTGTGATTGTATTATCATGGTGAGGTCAATTTCTGAAGTACCAATGCTCAAAATTTCGTGTGATGAAAATCTGTGGCTATTTAGCGTGTGTAGTGGACCGTCGGCTTACCGTGTCAAATTCGATGCAGGGAATCAGGTTCTGCTGGATCATGTAGTCCACCTGCTTGGCAATCTCATCATCGGTCAGTGGGGGCAAGTACGAGAAGGTCTCGAACTTGGGCTGTCCAATCGGGTTCCACACCTGTCCAAAGTTTCACCGGTTCTCAGCCAACATCCCAATATTACCACATCACCTCGGCGTTCATTCAACTTATATTACCGACACCATACGACACAAGAAACGTAGTCACAAGATAACCAGACAGTAACACGACGAATAGTAGCTCAGCTCCCTGAGAACTCAGTATACCTGCATGCATTGCACACGGCTGCCATTCTGCACGGAGCTCAAGGTCTGAGCCTGGGAAGAGAACAAGGTAGCCGACTTCAGACCAGAGAAGGCCTTGACGGAGGTAGAGTCGCGGGAGACGGCAGCAGGCGAGGCTGCGGCCAGAGAGACGGGGGCCACTACAGACGAAGCAACCGCGGACGCCATTCCTACGGACTTGTCGTGCTCTAGAACAGTGAAAAGCGCGAGGACTGAAGCGACAAGGGCGAGGAATGCAGTGAGCGATTTCAGAGTAGCAATGGCTGGAGCTGCGGCATTGTTAAGTAGTGAGGGCGGAATCTAGGACCATGGCGGCCATGCCCCCCTTACCTGATCCCCATCGCTCCCTCTAATCCTCACCACAGGTTCCACAAGGGCGTTTGCGCTTGGGATCGGAGGGACGCGTGGCGAGTCCCCCAGCGGGAGTCGATCCCCTGACTGGTTATTCTCGGGTAGTGGTCCTCATCCATCCAATCTCCTGCGTCGATGAACGCCCAACATACGCCACGTCGCTTCACCGGAGCCTCACGTTCCATCTGGCTCGCAAAAAGTTGCTTTATTTTTTATTTTTAGTAAACTCAATCAATCGTGGATGTCATTCTTGTATATTATGTAATTTTCTGAAGAAAAATGGGAAAATATAATATGTTGAAATGAAATCAGGAAATTTATTCAAAAATCTCTGAAAAGCAAACTACAACTTTTAATTTGCTTAACTATAAAATTGTTGTAATGAATATCTGCTGGTGCATATGCAGAGATATACATGTATATATATATATATAGAGAGAGAGAGAGAGAGAGAGAGAGAGAGAGTGTGTATGTTCAGGGTTTAAATATCAAATTAATTTTGTTTCTAGAAATTGTTGTAAGACTTGTGTTAAGAATATTTATCATCAATGTGTCTCTATATTTAGTTATATATACGATTTTCTAATAATTATATATTTTTATTATCTGATGAACATAGTAAATAGTCACATTGAAAATAAAACTATACATGTTTGTTATATACAAAATTTACATGCCTTAATCAAAGTGCATAGTTTTTTCTGAACTTATTGAACCTTGTAATCCTTAGACTAGTGCATGATTGTGTATTCTAATGACATATGACTTTGTTTTGGCATCAATTTCTTCCATTTATTAATATTTTTTGAAAAACTTTACAGATCATATTGTTGAAGTGACCTTACACTTGTATAATCAAACCCTACTCATTTTTATAAAACCTCGACATTAATTTGAAGACAACCATACTACAATCGTAATAATAAAAAAATTGGAGCTTTATTTAATATTATGTACAAAGTTTAATTTTCAAGATGGCTTTTTTTTTACTATTTAACATTTAGTAGTTGTAATAAATCATCACAAAGTCATCGTTGTTTATTTTCAATGAAATCTGCAATATTCAATTGAGGAAACTATTAATTTTTAGTTAAAATCTTCAAAATTAAATGAGTTATTACTTTCATTATTAAATCTCGAAGTTGATGCATGAACTATCATGTCCATGTCAGAATGTATCATATTGCACTGATATCTTAATTTTTATATCATTATATCATAGTTATTTAGAAAGATGTATATATTTTTATAATATTGATTTTGAAATTATGCTTGTTTATTTCTTGTCAAAATTACTAGAATACAATGAAATCTAAATTAACCATGTAGAACAAAATATTGTAAATTTTAATGCTTGTAATTTTTTTTAGGTTTGATTGTGAAAGAAAAGTGGTAATGAAATTTAAATATAAACAAAATTAGAAGGATAAATACTTAGATTGATCCAGTACAAAGCCAAATATAAAACGTATAGATACAAATAAAACAATCCCAAGTATATATCCAGGATTTTTTAAATTGATTTCCTGTATTTTATGAAAAATCTATTGATCAAATCAGCTTAACTTTTCAGTTAATTCTGTGCACATTTCACAAGAAGTGTACAAGAAATTATTTTTATGAGGGCTCTTTATAATTCTTTTGCACATAATATGTTAGAATTGTTTATTAAATGCTGGTATTCACTGAACATTTATAGATCATGTTGTGTGAATTTGTTTTTGAAAACTTTGTTGCAGAAATTAACATATATTTTACGTTTGAAAATAACGGGATCTTAGAAGTAAAGTTGTTAAGCAAAAAATTTGTAAAATCTATAGAAGTTTGTATACATATCTCATGAGCAGTTCATGGTTTAGCTTAATTCACAAACTGCTAATGAGATTTATGCACAAACTTCTATATTTATTTCTAATGAATAAAAAGGCCCATATAGTCTAAAAGGGCCCATGTATATATTACATATGCGGTATTAGAAACTATATTTTGGATACTAAACAGATGAGTCCCATCAACATTCAACTGGGAAATTCAAACTCAAATGAAGTGGTGCCTACGGCTGAACAATATCCAAAGTGACGTTGGTAAATTTTCATCCACTCCAACGGATGGATGATGACAAGTGACGAACGCCATCCACGAACTTGACGAACGAGAACGGCGTCATCTGCAGGGATGCGGGACGAGTCCCCTGGAAACAAAACCATGGGCTCAATTGCAATGCGGTGTTGCAATGGCATTGCGAAAGCGGACGATGGACGCGCTCATTCTAATGCATCCATGTGGATTTGAGACGTCCACACTTTTGCGTCCCGCACCTCCGGTTCACCGACTCGTCGCTGGCCATGGCGCTGTTAGTTTTGAACACCGTCATGTGCACCTCGCAAATTTGTCAAATCAATCATAAGTTGCGGAAGTTGCGAAAAGATCCGGCGCCTGGTCTCGCCTGGTCGAATTTCAGTACTTGTGGAGTGAGACGCGGTGCGACCAATGCTGGTAGAGGCGTGAATTTGAAGTGGGGGATGAACGCGGTTGCCTCGGCGTCTGTTGATGAGGGCATTGCGGACGCGAAGAAGATGATTGACGAGGTTTTGTTGAGCAAAGGGAGTGACGGTGCGGGACAGTTGGCGGAAGTGTCGTGGGCTTTGTATGCGGATGGGGAGACGAAGAAGCTTTTGGCTGATGCTGTGACAAAGCTTAGTGGTTGTCGAGGACAGGACTATGACGATTTTTTGAGATCCGTTGAAGTGCATGGCGTTTGGGAGGTTTTCTACGCTCCTCACATTTTCACGTGAGATGATTGAACTCTCCTGTTGGATGTCAAATTGGTATCACGATGAGATTTATGCCCTAGTTTTGGCACGATGCATTCAGTATGTATGAATCAACTAATCTATTCTCGGTCTAATGACTAGATAAATGGATGGTGATCACTTCTAATTCTGCTGCAGATTATCGAGCATGTTGGTGTCGAAAATTAGACCCCTCCAGTATGTTTTAACTGAATCGGGCTTCGAAAGCAATGCGCGGTACTTTAGTCCATTGTTTGGAGAAGGATGGTTGAGTGCATCTGGAGATTACGTGGTAAGGGACGAGAAAACAGTAGACATTGTTTTTAATTCATTTTGGTCGGACAGTGGCCGCGATAACTTGCAACCCGATCCCAAGAACGAGGTATGTCCATCTTCGTTATTGCCAGCTTGTCGATGCAGTCTGCAAATGTATGTCAATCTTGCCTTTCTGCTCTTTCCCTGGTGGTGAATTTCTTTGTCAAACCGTCAATTCGTGCAGGGGGCTATGCAACGAGTCATAGTGAATATCCTTGGGAGAGCTGCTTTCATAAAACCATTATCTGTATATCCCGTTCATTATGTGGATGCTGATGTTGTTGTATTTGAATTCACTATTCTTAGAACGCTAATTGCAGCTAGAAAAATGCGACCTGCTTAATGCTGAATAGCAGTAAAAAGAGTATCACTGTGACAAAGGAATCAAAATGTAGGAATACTAAGCATGATTTGTGTTATAAGTATTTAAAGTACTTAGTCTGAAGGAAAGCAAAGAAATGGCATGTTAATCATGTTTGTTGTTTATTGTGTATTTTGTAGAAGTTTATTGTATATGGTTTTAATGTACTTTTGATTTAATTTTTTTGTTTATTAGTTTGAATTTTCTTGTGATTCTTAATAAGTTATGGTCCATCAGGTTAAACAATAAATCTTGTACATGTTTTTGAGGTGGAGAAAAAATTGATATGTTGAATATTTATGATATTTTATTGTGTAGGAGGTTTTTCTTTTATGTTTTGTTTTTTGACACAAATGAGGTGTGCCCATTGTGATAACTCTACTAAGAAATATCTAGGCCTTAATACATTTTCTAGAACATGATTAGGAACATACTAACTACAAAATTATACTTATTAATCATTAACTAAGCTTCTTATTTTTGAAATGTATCATAAACTATTAAGTGATTTTTTTTTTTATCAATTCAATTTTCAAAGAAGTATACATCAATTTATGTTTTGTTCCAACTACAAAACAAGTATACATCAATCTATGTTTTGTTTCAACTATAAAATAAGTTTTTACTATTATTTGGTTGTTTAGAATTTTATACATTAGTTAGCCATATTTTTGTAAATTTGTCTAAATAAATCTTCTAATTTGTATATCATTGTGTTCTTTTAAGTTAAGTAAAATAATTCAATTCAATCCAAATTATGCATTAATATATGCCACAAATTAAAGATTGAATTATTAAAAACAAGAAGAAATTTCTACAATAAATTTAATTATTTTTAAAAGAATGTATTCTAAAATCTTCACTTCTCTGGATTTTTTATTAGTCTATGAATAAAAAAAAGTATCTAATTTTATATATGTTACATTTATATTCAATCTTATGATCTATGTCTTGTAGATTCTAACTTATATAATATTCATAGTTTTTATAAAGTAGATTAAGCTCTTTACACATTCATTGCAACTCTACAATGTATAATAAGTCATACAAATATTGTTTTTTTTTATATGCATGTGATTTGAATAAAATATCTCTTTATTTGATAATAAAATATAATTAAAAATATTCTTTAATTTTTATACCCTTGAATTTTATATACAATCATAAGTTTGAAGGAATTTTTTATCAAATTTTGTAAAATACTTCATCACTTTAGATCTAGAGATCAAAAACAAGTATAAGGATAAAAATTCAAATTTTCCAATAAATCATAAAAATGCTCAAGTTATTTATCTTTTATATTTTTGGCTTTGATTCTAACAACTTTTATAAGAATTTCTACAAAACTTAAAAAACATGAATTTGGTAGATTGATTCTGTTTTTAAAAGATATAGTTATCATTTTTTTATATATTCATTATATAAATATAAATTTTTAGATTGTATCTCAATCTTTCATATTTTTACTTTGGTAGATTTGAGTATTTGTAAACTAATTTTCTTTTCTTATATGACATATGAAATTTTTAATTTGAAAAATACTTTAAAAGAAATTTTTTTATTTTTCTATTATAAAGACCAATATAATTATAAAATCTTGGCAATTGCACTCTATTGAATAATATAATTATGAAATATTTATGATTTAATAATATCAAATGATTTTATAAATTTTGAGTATTTTACTAAATTTTATTTTATATTTTGATTCTTTTTAAATGTAAAAGAAAACATATTAAATATTATATTTATCTAAATTATATTTTATATATTTTTATTCTATATTTTTTTACTATTTTAAAAGCTATATATAATATTATATTATAGAAAAATAAGTGTAATAAGGTATAGATAAGATAATTGTATAGATAGATAGAACCATAGAAGTTTCTAGAATTGGGATTAGGTTAATAGACCACATAGGATTCAATGTGGAACATTCTAGAAAGAGTTTAGGATGATTATCTAAGTAGGGTCTATCATGGAACCTTCTAGAAAAAGCTTAGGGCAGTTATCTAAATAGGGCCTATTATAAAATCTTCTAGAAAAGGAATTTGAGGTGGTTATCTAGGTAGAGTCTACTACCTAAGAACATTCTAGAAAGTCAAAGGTGGTAGGATAAGATAAAAATACGACTGGCCACGATCTTTTGGGACATCTGGTCAAATATGGCTTTAGATCCTTTCTCTTAGTATAGTTTGGTTTAGCATCTTTTTATTAAGATTTATATTATTTTGATTCTATTTGCTTAGTTTTGTCTTTCATGTATTATTTTCTTTAGTTTCATTTAATATTGTTTTGATATGTTTTATCTTATTTTGTGATGAGGCCTTATATTACAGTAGATTAAAAGAATCTTGGATTTTTGAAATAATCTAATCTTGTTTGATTGGTATCAAAGCAAGTGTTAGATTGTTTACTTTTGGTAGCATATCAATAGTCATCATTTAGTCCAAGATTAGTTATTGTAATCATACTAGGTACTGTGTTGAGGCTACCATGAATTTTTCTTAAAAAATAAATTGGGAGGTGAAAACATAGTACAATAGTGGAGTCTAGCAAAGAAATTATAATATGAAAGATATGGCAAAATAATCCCAGATAGAGGCTCAAATACAACACCTCCTTAGCCAGAAAGCTACTTTGCAAGAACAAATAGAAGCCTCGAGGATGAGAGAGTCGACATCTACTAGGTTGAAATTGAGTAAGCCTACTACATACTCTAGAAATTCAAGATAAGAAGATGTTGTCAAGGACATGAATTAAAAAATGATGCATAAATCAATAAAATCTATGTCAAAGAAAGAGTAACAAAATAGAAATAAGAATGTACATATATTAAAAAAAAACTGAAATGGCTTATTGTCAAAAGACAAGGAAACTTGAGACTCTTGAAAGTAGATTAGAAACAAGAAAGGAGTTGACAAGAGTGATGAAAGCTTTTCTCTTATCTCTATATATATTACATAACTAGGGGCTATATGGCGATGTTCTATAGGACCTCCAACATGTGTTGACTTTGTAGGACACATACCTTAACTTACAAGGCAAGTTTTTTTCATGTGTGGGCCACATAATTAGCTTAGTCTTCAAGTTAATAACATGTATGGTACATGGCTAACTTGTTGACCACTTTTTTAATCCAAAAAGTGAATTATAGATACCTATAAAGTCAAAGTAGCATCTGTGAAGCTTCTATAGAAAATATTATAGAATTAACTTTTTTTTACCTACTTCTACTTACTTCTACCTATTTATATAGGTAATTATTGGCTTAAATATGTATGTCGATGATGTTATCTCCTCTTCTAGAGACGAATTCCATAAGGAGTGGTCATCATATGTTGAGAAAATCTATGATACAACAAATTGTATTCGCTACATACTAAGATCTTTGTTCTCTTCGAAGATGGTTGATAGGACCTTTCATCTCTAAACAAATGGATAAATAGAGTATGCAAATTGGACTTTGGAGGATATATCATGGGTATTTGTGATTGTTCATCATAATGATTGAAATAAATATTTAAAGCCCTTAGAATTTATTAGAATGATAGTATTTAAGCAAGTTCCGGTCATTCACTATTTTTCTTGAATATTGCTAAATATCTAATTAGGTCAACAACTCTTCATTTTCTCATCAATATCAACAACCCAACAATGGAAAAATTTATATAATAGCTTACAATGAACTTACAAGCGACACAACACTGCCTCTCTATTGCATAGAATCAATAGAAGCAATATTTATATAACCATCAACAATACAAGACCTTTTAGAAGGATGATCAGGTATTACTCTCTAATGCCAACTTCGCACTTGCTACATCAACCTAAATCTGTAAACTAACACCTCAATGATTTGGACCTTTCCACATTTTTGTAGTGATTTTTGATATTGCATACCACCTCAAGCTTCTGCCACATATTGAGATCCATCCAATCTTCTATATTTCATAACTAAAGGAATTTCATATCAAGCCAAATTGCTATCCGAATCGACACCAAATACCAACACAACTAGTATAGTTGATGATCAAGAAGAATATAAAGTGGACAGCATTTAGGAACATTATTACCTTCGTTGTGGCAATAGACGTCTACAACTTCAATACAAAGTTCTTTTGAAAGGTTATCCTATTCAGGATGCAATATGAAGACCTGTCAAGGACATACACATGTAAGCCAATAATTATCTATATAAATAGATAGAAGTAAATAGAAGTAGGTAAAAAAAGTTAATTTTATAATATCTTCTATACAAGCTTCCTAGAAGCTTTATAGATACTATTTTGACTTTGTAGGTATCTATAATTGACTTTTTGGATTAGAAAAGTGATCAATAAGTTGACCATGTGCCACATATGTTGTTAGCTTGAAGACCAAGTTAACTATGTGGCCCACACGTAGAAAAACTTGCCTTGTAAATCAAGGCATGTGTCCTACAAAGTCAACACATATTGGAGGACCTATAAAACATCGCTACATAGTCCCTAGTTAGATAGTATATATAAAGATAAGAGAGAAGCTCTCTTCACTCTTGTCAACTCCTTTCTTGCTTCTAGTCTAATTTCAAGAATCTTAAGTTTTCTTATCTTTTGGCAATAAGCCATTTTAATTTCTTTTTAATATACGCACTTCCTTATTTCTATTTTGTTACTCTTTCTTTGATACAAATTTCATTGGTTTATACATCATCTTTTATTTCATGTCATTGACAGATTGATAAGAGTACACTTACAATATCAGAGCTTTGTCTAATCTTGATTAAGAGTGGATTATCTCTTTTTCATGATAAGACATAAGCATTTTAGAAGTTGCGGATTATCCTCTTCTAAACTGATATTATTTTTAGTATTTTCTTTGTCCTCAAGTCCTTTCTTTTACTTGTCTTGAGTAGTATTAGAAATTTTTTTGAGTATTATTATGGCAGAGCTTGTTGAAATAAAGAGTGCAATGGCACAAATGTAAGAGCAATTGAAGGAGTTGATGCTTGCAATGCATCAACTTAGCTTACTACTACAAAGATCAACAAGAATAGCAAGAAGTGAGGATATAGAGATGATTAGAGCTGCTTTAATATCTATACCAAATCACGTCCGTCTACCTACAATGGAACATCCTTCAAGTGTTAAAGAATCAAGAGTTGCTTTGCCTAAGAAGTTTGATGGTATAAGATACAAATTTTGAGGACTTATCAATCATGTACAACTTGTGAT